GTGTACCGTAAAGCGAGCGCGAGAGCGCTTACGCGTTGCTGTCTGGCAGGAGGAGCATGGGGCCATCTCGGGGAAGAGAGCGCGCAGCAGCACTCTGCCGCCGTCTCACCTGCCGTTTGTGTCCAGATAATTAAAAGTTTGCACGCTGCCACATAAGGGCTGCCCCGGGGCTACGCGCCGGCGCGCCGCGGCCGCAGGTCCACCAACCACTGCGCGGCAGCCCGTCTAGCCTGGTGCAAGCGCGACGGTGGTTGTGCCTGTCGTGTAAGTACCGCACCACTGCACTGCCGGTCTGGCTGGCTAGCGGGACGGGAAGTCACCGTATTGGAGACGTGCCGAACCAAAGATACAGTTCAAGAAAAATCATGTGGTCGAACATACAATTAAATGTCAAAAAATAAATTACATCAAAATATTGACTCTACTAATTTAATAGGGTATTTCTTTGCAAAGAGACGAGACGATCGGAACTTGAAAAAGAAAAGCATGGCCGACTAATCTGGCTCTTCTTTGAGGTTTGGAAAGTCTTGCAGCGGAATAAATGTACGCCTACCCTGCCAGGTGGTGGATTCACACTTACACTGTACCGCATGCAGACGTGCGGGCGGGTTGCCTACTCGGACGGGGCCATACGGGAGCCGTGGGCAGAAGAGACATAGGCAAGCCCGCCCGCACGCGGTACAGTAGAACGAGAGTGCGCGGCGTGAATCAGCCACCTTGTATGAGGAAGTTGCCCGATAAGAGGAACAAAAAGAAGGTAGCGCTGAGGAGGTGGCGTGACGTAGCGCCGTCCCTAAACACAGCAGAACGCCGGCGGCCATGCTGTGTTTTGTCGCAAGTGGATGTGTGATCATAATTCAAATTTTGTAGAATTTGTAAAGAAAAATTGGGTCCATACCAGACCGGCATAACAATCTTGTGTCAAAAAGTGCTTCTGCAAAGTTTGGCTTCGGAAAAGTAAGTTAATTCAATCCTCTAAACCGTCCCGGTGTCGTTGTTTAGGTTAGTGTACGGACGTATTGCATTGGTACTATTTTAATTCAATGATAATGACTCAACTCTCGTTATAAACTTTGGTATAGGTGGTACCAAGGTGCTAGATGCATAGGCCCGTTCTAAACTGTCTGAAATCTAACGAAACGCATCCTAACCTCTGCTAGACTGTCGCTCATCTTCTGCTTTGTTTAGGGACGGCACTACGCCACGCCACCTCCTCAGTGCTACCTTCTTCTTGTTCCTCTTATCGGGCAACTTCCTCATAAGTACATAATAGGGTATTTCAGAGCTGGACGTGAAGAAGTAAAATGAAAGAACAAAAGGCGCACTGCGCATGAGCAGACGGCCCCCACTTCATCCCCTGCTTCCCCCACTCCACGTCTGCGCATGAGCAGTGCGCGTTTTGTTCTTCCATTTTACTTCTTCAC